GGTTTATGGAAGGCAGGTCCTGCTTGACGAACCTGATCTCCTTCTGTGACAAAGTGATGCGCTGGGTGGACGAGGGAAAGGCTGTGGATATGGTCTACCTTGACTTCAGCAAGGCTTTTGACACCGTCTCCCACAGCATTCTCCTCAAGAAACTGGCTGCTCTTGGCTTGGACTGGCGCACGCTTCGTTGGGTTAGAAACTGGCTGGATAGCCGGGCCCAAAGAGTTGTGGTAAATGGAGTCGAGTCCAGTTGGAGGCCAGTCACTAGTGGCATCCCCCAGGGCTCGGTGCTGGGGCCGGTCCTCTTTAACATCTTCATCAATGATCTGGACGAGGGCATTGAGTGCACCCTCAGTAAGTTCGCAGATGACACCAAGTTAGGTGCGTGTGTCGATCTGCTCGAGGGTAGGAAGGCTCTGCAGGAGGATCTGGATAGGCTGCACCGATGGGCTGAGGTCAACTGCATGAGGTTCAACAAGGCCAAGTGCCGGGTCCTGCACCTGGGGCGCAATAACCCCAAGCAGAGCTACAGGCTGGGAGATGAGTGGTTGGAGAGCTGCCAGGCAGAGAAGGACCTGGGAGTGATGGTGGACAGTCGGCTGAATATGAGCCAGCAGTGTGCTCAGGTGGCCAAGAAGGCCAACGGCATCCTGGCTTGTATCAGAAACTGCGTGACCAGCAGGGCTAGGGAGGTGATCGTCCCCCTGTACTCGGCTCTGGTGAGGCCGCACCTCGAGTACTGTGTTCAGTTTTGGGCCCCTCGCTACAAGAAGGGCATTGAGGTGCTTGAGCGGGTCCAAAGAAGGGCGATGAAGCTGGTGAGGGGCCTGGAGAAAAAGTCCTACGAGGAGCGGCTGAGGGAGCTGGGCTTGTTCAGCCTGGAGAAGAGGAGGCTCAGGGGCGACCTTATCGCTCTCTACAGATACCTTAAAGGAGGCTGTAGTGAGGTGGGGGTTGGCCTGTTCTCCCACATGCCTGGTGACAGGGCGAGGGGGAATGGGCTAAAGTTGCGCCAGGGGAGTTTTAGGTTAGATGTTAGGAAGAGCTTCTTTACTGAAAGGGTTGTGAGGCATTGGAACAGGCTGCCCAGGGAGGTGGTGGAGTCACCATCCCTGGAAGTCTTCAAAAGACGTTTAGATGTAGGGCTTAGGGATATGGTTTAGTGGGGACTGTTAGTGTTAGGTTAGAGGTTGGACTCGATGATCTTGAGATCTCTTCCAACCTAGAAATTCTGTGTGATTCTGTTATTACTATCAATATGGCAATGCTCTTTAACCTCCTATCACTTAAAACATGGAAAATTATTTTAACAAAGATTTTGAACAAAACTTGAAATGCGCTCCTTAAACTATTCAAGGCAAGAGCTATTAGCAGAGGGTAAAGCTTGAGTTCTTGAACTCTGGGAAGCGGAGTGCCCAGTGAACTGCCTACCTCACTAGGCTGCCTGTAAGCCACAGTCACAATTGCTGTCCCAGTTCTGCCGCTGTGTGCCTGTGGCTGTACAGGAGACCTCTCCCCTGGTCATTGGCACATTGGTTTGGAGGCTACTGAGGTGGTGGAGTCTTGGGTCTCAGACACAAAAAAGAAAAGGCACAGATAAAGAAAGACAAAGAAATGTTAGAGACAGGAAGGATGTAAAAATGGTATAATGAACTTGTGTGTCTTGAGAAAACCTCTAATCTAATGAGAATGGATTTCGTTTGAGAGATTGTACTAGTACAATTAATTATTCATGGCAGCGACATCATTAGGATTTCATTTTATTTAAAGGCCTCTAAGTGACTTGGAAAATTGGGTTAAGCTGAAGAGGAGTTTCAAGAGAGAGAGCAAAGCTTTTCATTTTATTGGCTTTGTCTAACATTTTCTAGAGAGCTATTAGAAATACAAACAAATTGTACTCGAGCTCTAAAATTCCTGCGTTAAATATGGGCATAAATTTGAACCACGTAAATACAAGATCTGGGCCAAACTGGAAACTAGATGGCTTTTCGTGGAACCAGCTAGACACCGTTTAAGTGGCCTACTGGTCACTGCTGTGTTTCAGCACTGCACATTAACATCAACCAGTAAGCAGTGGCTCTTTCTGTTTCTGAACTTCAATTCCTAATGTCTCCTGTTGTGGAATCTGGGACTGCAGAGCCTGCCTTCTTGTCTTGCAGTAGCTTAAGTCTGGTCACAAACAGAACCATGGGGCTGTTCCCCTAAAACCAGAAAGGCTTTAGGTTAGGCACGTACAGAACCAAGTTCATTGCATCTTTGCCTTAGTAGAAAGGAAGGGCAGAACTGTTTCTAGAAACCAGTAGTGGATAGACCTCTCCTTCACGTACAGTAGCGCAAGCTCTTTGTATTTGACTAAACCACCATGTCTACTGCTCCTACTGACAGACAAAAGCTCTTTCCTAGACATCTTCTCCCTTCCCTGGAGAGAACAAGCACTATGCCAGCCCCAGCAGGAGGGCTTGTGTGCCCACAGGGAGCAGTGTCCTGTCACCTGATAACACAAAGCACAGGGGATGGGCATGTGGCAGGGTTTACCCTTCTCTGCTATCCTGGTAAATTTATACCTGATTCACAGACTAGACAGCTAACTAACACTTCAGTGCTGCTGAGTTTTTGGTTTTTTTTAAACACATGGACACTAGCCTGGGAACTGTCCAGGCCTCTGAGTGTTTAAAAAATCTGGTTTTCTTTTTCTTTTCATAATGTTTATTTGTTCCTTTCCTTGTAATTCTCCCTGTTAACTCATGGACATCATTCAGGGACAGATTTAAATCGAAGCAGACAGACTCCAGTTCTGTTCTGTCCTCTGAACAGTGGAGATTTGTTTAAAAGTGCTGTCGGGAGAGCACTTGGTATGACTGGAATGCACATGGCTTTATTTTTCATTTCATATCATGTGCGAAGTAACCCAGCTATAACTTGAGATGGCTCTTGACATGGCTGTGGTGGTGCCCTCTCTGCTGTGTTTGGCTGAGGGTTGTGTAAATTATTTACAACAGCTTACTGGAGACATTCACAAACAATGGACTGGCCACTGAGAGGAACATGGGGGACAAAACTCATGTGAACCTAGACTTGAGGCCTTGAGAAATTACATTGGGCAATGGCTCTTAAAAATGAAAGAATATGTGTCTAACTACTGGTCTGGATCCAGTTTCAGGCCTTGCCTTGCCTGAAACTGAGAAACAATCACTCTCGCTTTGATGTCTGGAAGGGTTTGTTTTGCAATGTTTATATCTAGCTGACACTAGTAGGGAAAAATCCTATTGAAATTTTCTAATTAAGAAGATGTTTCAGTAAGACAATTGCCATTTGCCTTGTCTTACATGAAAATCTACAGCAGCCCGCAAGCTGCAAAGCTCATTCTCACCTGGACGATAAGCAGGGTCACTGCAAGGTTTGGCTGGTGTGATTGGTGTCACCTGGGTCAATCTTTAGTCAGAAGAAAAAGCAGCAGTTCTTGATGATTTGCTGAAGCTGGGACTTGCAAGTGGCATCTCCCAGGTGGTATCTTGGGCATCTTGCTGTTGCTGCAGTCCAGCCATGCTTTTAATGGTGTACATCACACAAGGGCAGGGGATGGATGTTCCTCTTCCTTCTGGTGGTGTACTTGACACTGCTTATTTTTCTCCAGCTCCAGCCAGGGAGGTTTGGGATTGTCTTCCCACAGTGTCCCATCTTAATCAGCCTGAAAAGGTGATTCTCTGGGGCCCTGAAATCTTTCCTGGGGCCCTGCTCCTGGTGCACACCAGAACAAAAACTTTGGTACTTTAAATATGTGGGCTTACAACCTCCCCTAGCTTCTAATAGATGGAATGTGGTTGCAGTCTCAGTGTTTATTTAGGTTTCAAGAAGAAAGAACCCCAAAAAGAAAAAAAAATCTATCCAAATAATAAAACAATTTCTTCTGATGACTTTTTGATGACATTATTTTGGTGGCTAGACACTTGACTTTACAATATGTAAATACTCATTTATTTTCCCATATGAGGAGAAAATTCAAGTCAAATAAATTTGAGTCCCAGTACTTCCATTTCTCACCTTTTCAAAATTCCCTATTATTTTTGCAGCTAAGTAATGTATTTGACTAAACATTCTTTTTTTCCCATTAATGACCTTGGGTAAACACAATAATTTAAGAAATACAGGTGAAAAGTAACTTCTCTGCATGGTGATCCTAGCACAGAACAACTCTTTTATCACTCGTGGTCTGTCTATAAAATCTCAGTCAACCAGACCCTTTCAAAGCAACACTTCTGAGGATTTCCATCAGCTCCGACCCAATTTTTATCCAAGTTTTATCAAAACCCCTCTTCATGTTGTTAGAGCAGTGTTTTAGTAGCCAGACAGCAGCCTGGCTGAAACAGGACTGTGCAAGTATGTAAACACAGGTCCAAATTCTGCCACTGGGTATGCAAAGGTTTGTGTTTGTGGGCTCAGTCTGCTCAATGCTCTGCTTCAGAGATACTCGTGCACTTTGATCCTGTTGACTTCAGTGAGAACGAGTATCTCCTTTGTGTAAGATTAACAGTTTTCCTCAGTTGTGGTGGGTGTTGATACGTCCTGACCTTGGAGTATTTATTTAGCAAGTCCTTTTGGGAAGAGGAGAGATTTTGGAGTCTTTCTCTGTTCTTTGTAAGGAGGAGCAGTAGTTCCCCTCTCAGGGTAATATGGAGGACTGTGGTGTAGTCTTAGGACAGGAATTAGTGCTTGCTTTGGTTCCTTTAAGGGTCCCAATACAGGATAGTAAACCAGAGAAAATCCTAAAGAAGGATGACACCATATGTTTTCCCTCATAAGAAGAAACATATTAGTCAGAAGTGCTAATGTCATCTCCTAAGCTCTGTTATCTCAGGATGAGATGACTTGAAAAAAGCATCAGCTGGGAGAAAGCTGGTTCCCAGCTACAGCTGATATGAATTAGCACAGCCCTGGCAGGAGCCTATAGGAAGCCTATAGGAAGGCTAGGAGCCAGGGGGCTGTGGGTTTTATGCAGCTGGCAGGAGAGGATTTAATGCTGCTGGGTCTGCAAGGGGTGGTGGGGTTGGTTGGGCCAGATTGGCTTTGGTTAGTGCTAGGAAGCTTCTAGGCCTTGAGGGCTGTGCTGATAGGTACAACTTTTGGGGTGTTAGAGCTCTCTGGACTAGGGGCAAAATGTTGTATGTGGGTGTAAGCAGAAATGGCAGCTCTAGAAAGTTTGTAAAAGAAAAAAATATATATAGGTGAGAAGAGTTAGGTGCTATCTTCTGATGGATGTCATTCCTTTGTTAGGGCAGACTGGCATGACTGTGCAAAGCCATCTGGGGCTATGAGGTAAGTGGAAAACTGACTGGCTCTGGTGGAGACTGGTAAGAGAGGGGAGCAAATGCTTTCCTGAAAAGGAGGGGGGGTAAAAATATTGGGCATCTAACAATTTTGAGACAGAGCTGGGAAATACAAAGCACAAGGAAGTAAATCAGTAAAATGAAGCCTGAAGTCATTTGCTAGGACTTCTCAAAGGCACCTGGATGTCTAGCTCCCATCTCACCATGATGCCTTCAGTAGCTAGGAAATGCTTCAGTAATTCAGACTTGAACAGAGCTGAAGTGAAAAGGGACAGCTGACAAAGCTGTGCTAGAGGCGATTCAGTTTAGTTCAGCAGAGCTGGCTGCTAAAAAAAAATGCCTCTAGCGAGCTCTGTCTTGGCTGTCTCCTCCCCTGGGAGTTGTGTTGCTTGTGCTGGACTTGTTGCATGGTTCCTCCCTTGCTCCTTCCCCTTGGTGTTTGCAGGCTTGGACTTTCCCCCAGAACTGGCTGGTGTTAGTTTGACATCACACCCCTGCAGTGATAAGCATGTGGCTGCTTTCTTTTTGAACTGGAGGTTGTTTAAATACATTGGTGAGACACCGTGTACTGGGAAGCAGCAATAATAAACTTTTGAGGACCCTAGGCTCCTGGCTGGTGCCAGGAGAATGAGTGATGAAGGCTTTTGCCTGCAAGTCCTAGTGTCAGCAGGGCCTCTCCTTTTGGTCCAGTGAGCCTCGGTATGTGGATGCTGGATAAGGTGGCAGCCTTGTACATACATAAAATGACTTGTCCTGTTTCTCCCATCACATGTTCTGGAACACCGGGAACAGAAATCTTCCCTATTTGAAGGTGAGGGGGGGAAAACATGTAGATTTAACGAAAGCGTGAGCTTATTTTTTGTCCAGCCCTTTGTTTGCTTAGCTCAGTTAACACCAGGGAAAACTAAGAGCTATTCAGTTTGGTGCCTGATTCTCAAAAACTATAAATGTGAATTCCCCTTACTGGGAACAAATTCCCCTTATTGAAAATAAGCGTTCCTTACTGGTCTTTTAATGCTTTGCTAACAGATAGACACCTAAGTTGTATGGTACTTCCTAACATTGGATGTTATTCTCCTAGTTTAGTGCGTACAGCTGTCTGGATTGCTGTACAGTACATATTCTTAGCAGCTAAATGCTTAGTGCTGAGGAGTAATCCTCCCTCTTGGAGCCAGCTCCTCTCCCAGTTGGATCTCTAAGCAGGGCCACAAAGCTTTATAGGAACTGGAAGTTGAGACCCATTTATAATGTTCTTATAATTGTTGCTGCATTTCAAGTACGCTATGGCTGTGCTTGAACTGTAAACTGCCTACCCAGGTACCTGCAGGAATTAGGTCTGAGCTCAGCAAAGACTGAATGCTGAAATCCTGTTACTGAGCTGAATTCTGAATTAGAGTACTGCTGCAATTATGGTAGTGACTGTAGTATAGGCATAACACAATTAGACATTCCCCAATATCCCATTAGGCACCTAATACTCTCCAAGTTCTGGTTTTAAGTTGTCTGGGTGCTCTTTGTGTTACAGCTGTGGCGCTTTAAATTCCCCCAAAAGTTTTAAAATAGTTGTAAGTCTTTAAATTCACTGTGTGTTCTCCTAAAGTGAAAAGCCTGTGTATCACAGAAAGGTTAAGGTGGGAAGGAGCATCTGAGGGTCATGTGGTCCAACTCTTTTTCTGGGGGTGCCATAATAGGACCCATCACTCCAGGTGTGACCTCTCCAACCCTAAGTAGAGGTGAAGGATCACTTCTCTTGACCTGCTGCTGATGCTTTGTCTAACGCAGCCAACACTGTTGTTAGCCTTCTTAGCAGTTGAGGGCATGTTGCTGACCGTGTTCAATTTGGTGTCTTCCAGGGCTGCTAGGTCCTCTCCTGCAGAGCTGCTTTCCTGCTAGGTGGTCCCCAAAGGTAGGAGGAATGGGTACTTTGAGGCTGTCTTCTGTGTTCTAGTGTTTTTGTTTTTTTTTTTTTTTTCCCTGGTAACTGGGACACATGCAAAAACATCCTGTATGTGAAGGAAGAACACTAAATGCTCTTCTAGCTACTATGACTTTTGTCATGGTGGTCAGATAGGGTTGTGCAGCCATGGGTAGCCACAAGGTTATGTGAATGTGCCTCTGTGTTGCAATGATGCGGAGGTGCCATATATTGCATGTGGGCGATCTTATCTGAGCACTGAATGCTATCTTTGTTTTGTAGTAAGGGCATTAAACCAGACCTCTTTGAGTATGTCCCATATCTTTACAAAATCTGGTGCCTGTTTTGTAATTCAGTACAGACTTGTGCATGTCTGTTCCACAGCAGAACTGCTATCCAGAAGGATGGCTACTTGGATAGATTTGAGTTGTGTACCAAGGCAAAAGTAAACAAATGCATATACACTTCATCAGATCTGAATTGCTCTGTTAAAATATGGGCCTTTTTTTTTTTTTTTTTTTTTTTTTGAAATGCTACTAAATTGCTACTCTTCTTTAACTTTGTTAACAAAAGTAATTACAATATAATGAGGGAAATTATGTTATTCCTCTAGTTAAATACATCGTTTTGGTTAAATTCCTCTACACGGTTTATACCCTGAACAGCTAAATGTTTAGTCCTTAAAAATAATCTTCCCTCTTGGAGCCAAATGCTTTCCTTTCAACACTGTTTCCTTCATACCAGGGTGAGGGTGGGATTCCCAGCCTTGGGCTGATCTGCAGCTCTAGACTGAAACTAAATACAATGCCCTGGGACCAAGTCCCATCATCTGCAGAAGTTGGGCAAGAGGAAATGTTTCTTGTGTTAGCTCAGCTTGTGGCCACACTGGGAGAATTTGTTTTCACACCAAACAGTTGGCTGACTCTGCTGTTTAGGGAGAGAAGAATGAAGGACTGGTCTCAGAGAAAAGCCCTTACCTTAGCAACAGCCCTTTCCAGAGACACACTGTTATTTTTTGTTAGTAGTGTGTATGCAGCACAATTTGCTTCTGAATTGCATGTGTAAAAACTTCACCAATTTTGCACTTCTGTGTAACAACACTGGAGTTCAGGAAGCTTACTTATGTTTGCTTCTTGTTGCCTTTAAGCCATCAGACAAGTGGGGCACGGCTCATGCTGCATGACTCTCGCCTGGCTTTTATTCCCAGGGCTTTAATTTTGATGGATCAGTGACAGGGGTGGCTCGGGTTGTGAAGCCTGAGGCTATTTGCATAGTGTTGCTCAGCATGCACTTCTGTTTCAGGTTGACCTCCAAATTCAAAGAACAGCATATTTGAAATGCTGGTTTGAAAACACCAAGAACCCTCTTGATATATAGAATTTTTAACCTATTTCTCCAATGTGGCTCAGTGGTATCTTGCTAGGGGACATCTTTGGTTTGTTATTTGACCTCCCATTGTGCAGGGAACTGAGAGCCCTCTTGGGGTCCTGGAGCTGAGCCTGGCACAAATCTAAATGCTGAGCCTGTCTCTGTGTGTGGTAAATAGGACGGTCGCTCTGGGCTTGTAAATCACCACTGGTCAGGAACAGAAGGTGAATGCTCTTGTCATCATTGTGGCAAAGATTGCAAGTGGAGTTTTCACATCCCTCTCTTGAGTGATGAGAGAGGACATCACAGAGATGTTTAGTTTACTTTTTTTTTTTTGTGTGCGTGCATGTTGGTAGACTGTGTGCCTATGAATGTGCTGAGCATGTTCTTCAGCCTTTATGTCCTAAACAATATTGCATCTATGCCAGCCAGAAAGCAGTAGTTTGTGGGACTTTATATCCTTCGTTCAGAGCAGCAACGATTCCTGATTACTTATGTTCCGGGCAAAACATTGGGGTGGGAAAGGTAACATCTGCAGAGGAATGGGTTACTTGCTAATACATGGCTCTTTGTGTGAGGATGGAGAAAAAGGAATAGGATGATTGGAAGAAAGTGACAATACTTTCATTACTATGCATAACACCTCCCTCAGACTCCTGCAGAGTGTGTTTTTTTTTTTTTGTTTGTTTTTAACCTTTCACATAGAAAAAAGATTAATACTGAATTAAAAGAGAAGATGTATAGTGAGTAGAGACTTTTTTTTTTTTTTTTTTTTTTTTCAGATTTTCCCAGAATTATCCCACCTTGTTAGAGATGATAGAAGAGCTTCTGGGTCTAATTCTAGCATGTAACTTCCAGTAGCTACTTTCCACTTACTTGCTATTTTAGACTATCTTGTTGATGACTGATGGACAGCATAACTGCTCCCAAATTCTAGACAACATCCTCAAAGAAGAAAACAATCCTGCCTTGTAAAACCCACTCTGAGTTGACCATGGTTCTTGAGGTCTGGCATACTGAACCACAGCTCAATGCCAAGGTACTGGCCTTCAGCATAATGACTTAAAAGAAAAACCTACGTAGTCAAGAGTAGCCAGGAGCCATACATATGGAAGCCGGCAAATAGTTACTGCTGTGCTTCTTCCAGGCAGGTAAAATGCTTCTGAATGGCAAAACATCTCTCTTGAGATGCTCTGAGTTGAATGCAGGTTCTGCAGACTTGTCTGTTTTTCCCTTTTAGGGTTGTGTTATTTTTTTTTCTAGTTGGTATGTGTTCAATTGCTTTTATTTCTCTTCTGAAGTCCCCTCAAGAAGACCACAAAATACTGTGTTGTAAGAAAAGGTAGGTTAAGTTGGTAGTTAACATTAAATGCCTGCTGTTTGATATAATTGAGCTTATTGCCTAATCTGCATGTATGCAGGTTTTAGAGAAGAGGGTTTGTGAAGGCTGAGGGGAATAAAATGAAGGCCTCCCTGTAAATAAGGCTTAGCTTTGTTTTGGCTGAGGAGAAAAAAAATGTGGAAAATATTTCTGCTCTTCAATCATTGTCTTAGCTTATCTTGTCCATCTTTTTTTTTTTTTTTTTTTTCTTTCTCCTCATTGCAACGGTGTCACCTGAAGCAAGTATTTTCTGAGTAAATCCATGTTTTGCCAGTGGCTGACAGAATAAGGCAGAGCCTGGAATGCCAGTGGCATGTGGCCAGTTCTTTGGTAGCACTGGTGGCTGAACATCTCCTGGCAGGCTTGGGTCTTGCTGCAGCACAGCAGAGTAGCTCCCTGAGAGAGCAGCGTGCTTTTGTAAAAACAATAGTCCTTTTAGGGATGTGTAGAAAGAGTCTATATTTAAGCTAGCATCTAACACTGGAATAACTTTAGGCTTTCTGGGCACCTATTTGCCTACTCTGTTCTGCAGGCTCAATAGCTTGGAAATCTAGCCTAGAGTATCCTGAACTCTGCCCTGGCTAAGAGAAGCCAAAGACAGCACTACAGTGTTCATTTTCTGTATATTTCTAAACTTAACCAAATAAAACTCAAGCTAGATAGATCATCAGTTCACTGGCTTACAGCAAAATGTAATAAACTGAATAACTGTAGGCTTTAATATAATCTCACACAATTGTATTACTGCCCAATTACTTTTTTGACCTCTTTAGAGACATGCTTTCCTTAAAAAAAAAAAAAAAAAAGCACATGGTCTGCAGTTCTGACTGTCCTCTCAGCATCTTCTGTGTTTAGCAAATCAATAGATAAACTGGAGTATCGCTTCTTTTCAGTCTCGTGTTTGTGGGAGCATGGCAATGCGCAAGGCGCTGTGTGTGTTGGAGCTCCTCTAATTGATGGCTACTCATGCTCCCTCAGTTTCTCAGATCCTAGAGTACTCAGGACAACTATTTATTTTCTTGAAATTGTTAAACAAATAAGGCAATTATCCTACTGTCAGTGTCTGAGCTTCTTGAAGTCAGTAGGCTTTTCCTCCTGATAATAAAAGTTACTTATCTAATTGTATCACCTCCTTTAATAGTAAATCCAGTCAGCAGTGTTGCAGGTACCTTCACTGGCTTTAAACAAGTGTAGTGGGATGTTCTTTGGCTATGATTTAGGAAATGACTTCAGCATCCTCCTAGTTGTTTTCCTTCATATAAATTTTTGGGTGAATCAGTGCTTGGAAGGGAGAGACTTTGAGGCTGCAGCTGATGCTGGAGAGAGAGAGCCTGGAAAGGACACTGAAGAGTTTTAAACTCCAACTGGTAAGAAGTATGTTGTAGCATCTTAGACAGTCATTCATCCTCTGCAGTCTAACAATCTTTTAAGTCCTTCTATTATGCTTGTAGGAATATGGTCTCATTTTGTGCAACTGAACAAGGGGCTATGAAGAGGAAATGCAGGTAGCTTATATGGCATCCTACTTTAACATCCCAAGAGTAAAATGCTCATACAACAACTTAAAGGTGTCTGGGATCAGACTTGCTGTGATGAATACCTACTAATCTTGCTGAAGTTATTGTACTGTGAAAGCAGAAAAGGGGTGAGGGGAAACAGCAGCTTGCTGAATCACACCTGGGAAAAAGCAAACAAACAAAAAAAAAACAAAAACAAACAGAAACCAACTGTATAAAGATGAGTAGAAACCACAATGCAAAGTCTAGAAGTCTGAGAACTGCCATGTGGTGTGAGAGCTGTCATATCTCAAATACTGTTTTCTGATGAAAACTTGTCTCCTAAAGTCAAGTTCCAGAATGTTCTAGACAGTTTTAAAATTGTAATGGAGTGAGAACTTTTTAAACTAAGAGGAATATTTAAATAATCCTATGCTGTCTTGCATGGGATAATGCTTTTTTTTGGGGGTGGGAGTGAGATAGGGAGTAGGGAGGGAGGTCAGTGGGTATATAACAGCACTCTTTCATTTACAAAATGAGGGAACAACTACTACATAAGGTTTTAGTGGTGTTTCTCTACCTGTATGTGAAAGGAGAGATTAGACAGGAAAACCAGACGTGGATGTGGTCCTTCTAGACTAAAGCTGTTGTAAGTGAGATGCTGAAGATGAGAGCAAGGCATGAGGGCTGTGAATATCCCTTCTGGTTTTAGCACTTTCCCTAATGAGTAATAATTGAAGGGGCAA